CTCACCCTGGACAAACAAGTAAAATCTGCTATACGTCGTGACGTTAAAAACGACATTGCCAGCCGGGTGAGGAGGCAGGGTCCGGCCTCCACTTTCCGTAACCTTCGGCAGGTGATCGAGGGCAAGAGGTCCACTCAGCGTATCGTGCCTGAGGCCACCCCCAACGAACTTAACAGCTTTTTTGTGGGGGTCGGCCCTCGCGTCGCGGCTGAGGTCCGGGACAGGGGGGAGCCTATCCCCCTTCCCTGCAGGCTACCTAGGGTAGGTGCCTGTGCCTTTTCCTTAAAACCTATTTCCCTTCAGTCCCTCCGATACATCCTTTTTTTCATGAAAAACTCCTCCTCCTCCGGCTCCGACGGTGTCAGCATCCGGATCCTTCGCCTCTGTTTCGATTCCATCAGTCACATCCTCCTTTACTTCGTCAACACCTGTCTCACAACTTGTGAATTTCCCGCATCCTGGAAGCACTCCATCGTCTACCCCATCCACAAAGCCGGTGATCCTACTGATCCATCCAACTATCGACCTATCTCCATTGTTCCTGCCTTTGCCAAACTTGTAGAAAAAGTTGCTCAGCAGCAGCTGTACACCTACATGTCTGGCAACCATCTGTTTTCCTCATCCCAGCACGGTTTCCGCTCTTGTCTCTCCACAGAAACCGCGCTCGCCACCGTATCCGATCACATCCTCTCTGCCACCGACCGACAGGAACTCACTCTCCTCTGTCTCCTCGATCTCTCCAAATGCTTTGACGTGATCGACCACACAAAGCTTCTGTCCAAACTTCAAACCTATTCTATCGATCCGACCTGGTTTTCTTCTTACCTCCGTGGCCATACCCAATCTGTTTGCACAGCTGACGGGCGAGGAAATCGAGTCCTCTCCGATCCTCTACCCAATCCTATCGGCGTGTTCCAAGGATCCTCGCTCGGTCCGCTCCTGTTCCAAATATTTGCCAATGACCTCCCCCTCTACGCCCCTGGGGCGCACGTGGTGCAGTACGCTGACGATACTCAAATCTTACTATCTGGCAAAAAAGACTCCCTCCCTCATCTCATTGCTACTTTGGAACAAATTTTGGACTCATTTGACGCCTGGTTTCATACCAACGGTTTGAAAGTTAACACTAACAAAACTGAACTCATCATGTTTGGCTCTCGTCAAAATTGCCGTGGCTTGGATCCCATCTCGATTCGGTTCCGTGAGGACACGATCCGTGAGGGCCCTACGGTGAGGAACCTTGGCGTGATTTTTGACAAGCACCTCACCTGGGACTCTCACGTATCGGCCCTCGTCCAAAAATGCAACGGTATTCTCATCGGGCTGTCCCACGTGCGTCACCACATCCCTAGTGAACTCCTGCCTACTGTGGTCAGCGCCTTGGTCCTCTCGCACGTCCGTTATTGTCTCTCGGTCTACGGAAACGGCTCGGACAAAAACATACAACGTCTCCAAAAAGTCATCAATTTTGCGCTGCGCGTTGTGTCTGGCCGAAGAAAATTTGACCACATATCGGACGTGCGAGAGGAACTGGGTTGGCCCACCGCCCGTCAGCTGTTCGAAATCCACTCACTCAATTTCCTTCACAAAATACGCTGCACTGGGGAGCCGGAGACTATATCCTCTCAAATCCTGACCAACTCTTCCCTGCGCTCACGCTCGACAAGGCGGGACACTGATCTGGCTCTCCCACGCGTGAGGACCGAAGCAGGGAGGCGCCGTCTGCTCTACAGCATCGCCCAGTTATATAATCGCCTGCCCCATGATTTTAGGAGCCTCTCTATGGGAAGTTTTAAACGCTCTGTTTCCGAGTGGTTTTTACGTATTTAGGGATGAGTGAATGGTTCGATATGTTTACTGAGTGCTGTGATTTGGGTGCATTTTAACTCGTTTTCCCCTTTTAACTCAGACGCGACACTCAGAATAGCCATTTTAATATGGAAAGTGTTTTAATTGTCAATACAATACAATACAATACAATACAAACCACAATACTTAACAGCAGGTCACTTGTTGCTTCTTTGTTTGGTGTACTTATCCATGGGTCAGGTCAAATGAGGTCAACTGAGGTCAAATGACGTTTTTGCCAGTAACTTGGCTTATAATGACGCTAGAGCTTAAAAAATGGTATCATTGTGTTCCTGGTGATAAGCCGAATCGAATGATATGCGATATGATGCAATTTGGTTAACTTAAACTTAATTTATTAATTTACGTTTACTTAAAATTTAAGAAAATTTTTAAGTACACCTAAGCAAGCTAAAAAGTATATCATTCGACGCGCCTGGACGTGCTGAGTTCACCGGTGCTTTTCTTTTTGTTCTATCTTAATTAGATCAAAAGTTATAAGCGAAAAACTTTTGACCTGTTTTTAGCGAAATTTTTACATTTATACCCCCCAAAACCCCCCTAGATATTGACCTAGAGCAACCAAATTTGCACAGGGGCGAGAACTCCAGGGGGCCCACTTACCTAATAAATTTGGTGTTTCTAGGTGCCATAGGCGCCAATCACGAGGGGGGGGGGGGTCGCATCGACCCCCCCCTGCCAGGCCGTGTTATGAAAAATGCCCTGCCAGGGCGAGGGTTAATCTTTAATGACCTCGATTCCTTTTTTGAGTTTTACATGTTACTAGGCTAGTTTTGGAGCTGAATTCAAATTTAGCAACCCTTTGATTGAACATTTACGAAGTACTTGTTGTACCTTCGTAACATGTTACGAAGCTGTCAGAGGCGGTTGACACATACTAGGAATCCCCGGCAGGACCCCTACTGGTTGACCTGACCTTACCCGACCTGGCCTAAATGCATGAAGACATCATTTGTGATCAAAGCTAACCGATGATATTCGTGATCAACACCCCGAAAACCCCCATAGCAGCCACACTTCACGACGTTCTAACACGTTACGGTCCAAACTCCATAGAGAAGGGGACATACGAATCTTCGAGAGTTAGGCGACGAAATACACAACTTGATTGTTAACCCTCGCCCGTATTGGTTTCTCAGCCGCGTACGTATAAAGGGGAGGGGGGGGGGTCCGTTGGACTCCCCTTGCCGTTTGGCCCCTGATTGAGCTAGAGCTTCGCGAAAAAAAAAAACGAGCGTGTTGCCCATGACGGGAGAAAGCCGATGATACCCAATTTTAAGGTCCTAGGTCATTAGTTGACCTTGCAGATCAAGTTAATGACCCAAAAGTCGGGAAAATCGGGACCTGTTAGAACATCGTAAAACGTGGCTTCTTTGGGGTTGTTCGGGGTGATGATCACCAATATCATGTCAGTTATGAATTATGATCATAGAGGGTGTCTTCATACATTTAGGCCAGGTCTGGTCAGGTCAGGATAACCAGTAAGGGTTTTGCCGGGTATTCATAGTAGGTGGCAACCGCCTCTGACAGATTCGTAACATGTTACGAAGGCACCAACCGAAGTCATCAAAGGTCAATGACCTGACCTGACCTTCCGGTGACATTGACACTCACCCTAATGAATGGGAGGAACACGATATCCCATGTTTGAACGCTTGAAACCATGAAAAGACTGCAAACGCGCGGCTAATGCGAGCCGACATACGCCGAATCGCGATCCTGGCCAAACATGGTCTCGAAAATTAGGTCACTGGTCAAAGGTCATTGGGATCAGGGTCATGAATTTTTTTTTAGGGTAGGTGTAAAATTGATTAACGCGAGGCCCGCGAGGGTACTGAAAGTTTCGTCGCGATCGGCCGCTTTTTACGCGAGTTATTCGCGAAAAGCCAAGGGGGGTCCGTTCGACCCCCCTATACGGACGAGGGTTAAGACTTTAGATATGATCATTTTGTGAATGTTGGGCAAAGCCTGACCACTACTGGGGCATTCCTTGACTCTGGCCCGGCCTGTAACGCTTTTGAGAGGCTTATATCTCAGCAACCGCTGGACCGATTAGCCTGCGGTCTTTTTTGCTGGGTAGCCCCATCCCTTCTACCCCGTAATTGACTACTTTTGATACATCTCAGTGACCGTCGTGGCACGTGCCACGTGAAAAGTCAAGGGTGTTCAAGCAGTTTTGCAAAAGTAGTGATTTTGAGAGGCCCATATCTCAGCAGCGACTTGAACGATTGTCTTGCGGTAATTTTTATAGGGTAGCTGCATCCCTTCTACCAAAGGTCGGATACTCTTAATCTATGTGAGTGACCCCCACTGCACGTGCAAAATACAAAGAGAAGAGGTGCCAAATTTGTTCCCATTTCAGTAACTCGGTAAATACTGGGGCGATTTCGCTGAAACTTGGCATACAGGTAGGCACCCACCAGGCAATGCATTCCCATATGTTGCGGTAGGGTGCTACTGCACGTGCGCACGTGCAGGGGGCGTTTCCAGATCTCGAGAACGGCTGGGCCGATTGCGCTCAAATTTGGTACACGGTTGGGGACCGGTTAGCAGGGTGCCGTGCAAAAGTCATTTTGGACCCCGTTTGCACGTGCGCACGTGCAGAATGCCGCTTCCTGATCTCAGGAACGGCTGGGCCAATTGCGTTCAAATTTGGCACACCGCTAGCGACCGGTTGGAAGGGTGCTTTGCACAAGCCCGTTGGAAGTACCCTCTCGCCCTTCCGCACATGCAGGGCGCACTATCTGTTTCGCTCGTTCTTCGCCCAAAAGGCGTTTTACTGGTTTATTTATTAGTTCAGTTATAATTCCTGAGAAGTCGTCTATCCCGGGGGGGGGGGGGGGGGTTGTAAATAAGGGCAAATACGAGCTACGAGTCGCCAGGTAGAAATAATTTTGATACAGTTGATCGTCTGTTAAATCAATGTGCATCAACCAGGTGTCTCAGTAATTCAGCCAGCAATTCTCGTGCTGTGTTAAAAAAAAAAAATGTTTACAGTGAGGGGCAAACTTGAAATGAACGAACTATAGTTATTTGTCAAAAACCGATTGGGTTCACCTGACCGCTCCCTATCAATCTAGGTGCGAGTTTTATGTATGAGCCTTCAACGTTATTCTCGTTTGCTTTTGCAGTCCATCTACAGAAACCAGCATCAACGACGCAGCACAGAGAGGGCTCCAGTCGCCGGCGGCCAGTGACGTCTCGAAGCAGACATTGAGCCAATCACCTGCGGCCAGTGACGTCTCGAAGCAGACATTGAGCCAATCACCTGCGGCCAGTGTAGTCACAGTCCAGAAGGAGGAACTCTCGACTGAGAAGCAGTTGAAGCAGTTCACATTTCCACCTGGTCTTGCAGAGCTACAGGTGATCGCGATTTTGGAGTCCCTCCAAGTCCAAACCTTGAAGAAGCTCACGGTCTCCACTCCTCCTGACTCGACGGGACGGTGGCTGCGGCTGCTGCCGCCGTCCTTGAGGAGCCTGGACGTTTACGGTGAGATGTCATCGATGAAACTTGTACCTAATCACACTGCTGTGTGGTGAGGACAGCGCTTAGTATTGTGATTGCAGCCATGCATGTGGGTTGTAAATATCTGTTCAGCCAGGGCTGCGGAGTCGATGGATTTTCGGCGACTCCGACTCCGACTCCGACTCCGGCTTTCAAAAACCAGCTCCGACTCCGACTCCGGGCAGAATTGTCGACTCCGACCGACTCCAACTCCCGACTCCGACTCCGCAGACCTAGCAGGGCTGCGGAGTCGACAGATTTTCGGCGACTCCGACTCCGGCTCGGGTTTCTAAAATCGACTCCGACTCCGACTCCGACTCCGGTCACAACTGTCGACTCCGACCGACTCCGACTCCGACTCCGACTCCGCAGCCCTGGTTCAGCCGGTCCGATACCATATGCAGTGGCATCATCACAGTAAAATGTGTAATGCGTATTCACTGTAACTCTTGTCAAAATTATGATAGACGTTGTTTTGAAGACCACATGCTCTACAAATGATCATACGAAACAGACGCCTAATGTTGATCATGGCCTGAGCCCTGACATCCAATACAGAGAGTTTTGACAGTATCGTCGATAGTGTTCAATCTCTATTTTTCATAGTTCATGGTCCATGCTGAGCTATGTAGGTATAACAATATGTGTGCTTGTATAAAACAGACATTGCCAAACTCATTCCTATCAGTGACGAGTCGGCTGTGTTGGTGTCAGTATCGGCTGTATCGTTGTTAGATACCATAGTATCAGCGGCCTCCCATCCCGGCGGCAGCTCCGTCCGACTGCAGTCAGCTGACACAGCTCTCTCTCCGATAGGACCGGGGGAGACGGGGAAGCCGGTGACTGTGCCGGAGAGTAGACAGCTCGACCATGGGCTGGATGTCGTCATACTACAGGCGGGAGATGACGTCATCAACCAGCTAGCCAAGGAGCTGGGACCACGGGTTACCGGGCTGACCATGTACAGTGAGTGGCGGTGGCACGGACAGGTTATCGGTATGAGTGGTTTGGTATACTGACGAACACCATATACCCAACTGAGCACGGTAACACCGTTCGGGGAGAGGTGAAACAGGGACTGTGATCAGAGTAGGGGAAGTTGGGGCAATGCCGGAGTTGGGGCAAAGCCGAAATTCGAGATATTTCGAAAACCGTAAGACATGGATGCCACCTGTCAATGATGCTCTGAAGCTTAACCCTATTCCTGGCGGGCTCCGCCGGGACAAGAAACTGGCGGGGGGGGGGGCGATTCGGCCCCCCCCTGAGATCTCGAGAACGAAGCAAGCTAGCGACAAGCGGTAAACGGCATCGGATACGCACGGCCAAGATCTACAATTTTTACTTAGGTCATTTTTAGGTCAGGTCAAAGATGACGTCACAGGGGTCGAAAAAGTCAAAATGGCGGCACTAGATATGGAGAGAGTTTTTCTCGAATAACTTTCGAATTAGTCAAGATAGGAACAAACTAAGGGCATCATCGTGATCCTCTCGTCAATCCGCATCGAATGATATATATGTTGACCTCGAAAGGTCAAGGTCAAAGGTTGACCTCAGGTCACGTGACCTCGAGGTCATCATGTATATCATTCGATGCGTCTTGACGAGCTGAACACAATGAGACCATCCACGCGTCTGTATCTTGTTCCTGTACGGAGTTATTGGCCAAAAACCTTTGGTGACCTTTGATGACGTCACATGACCTCACAGCTGCCCAACAGCAAAACAGACCTCAAGGTAGTGAAGGTTGATCGTATATGAAGTCATGTATGGTATATGGGGCCATTCCGACCCGTTTTAGTGGTAAAAACAGGGAGTTGATTTTTCCCCCATTGACTTATAATGGGGAGGTCGCGAAATTGACCTGACCTTAGGTCACCGATATCAAAATTCCGAGATATACAAATTGCACATACTGGTACCCTAACTAAACCCTGAAGAGAAGAAATTGATCGGTCAAAAACTCTAGCTCAGGCGTGATTGCAAACTTTTCTGAGGTAGCGTCACCAAACCGCCTCTGGTGACCTGACCTGAGGTCAGATCAACTCAAAATTTTCAGACATGTTGCGTAGAAGCCTTTTAGGAAAAGTCAGAAAATTTGAGCTTCCTAGCTCAACGCGTTTGGGAGATATAACCAAAAAACCTCAGGGGGGGGGCTCCTGAGGCCCCCCCCCGCCAGGAATAGGGTTAAGTGACTACAATTATCGCATGTTTGTTACGAGTCGTCATTCGGAATACTTCGGCTGTGAGGGCGCCAAAAGCCTTTTCAAGGTACGCGTTCCTTGTGCTACATGCGCCTTTGAAGCTGCATTTCTTACTCATTATGCTACCGTTTGTCTGGCCAATTCGGTCAAGTAATCTTCAGCATGTCTTTGCATAAGTGTGCTGCCTATTTGAAATTTATACGGCACGTTGAAAAGTTATGGGCCTGCAAATGAAAGGATGGCTGGCTGGGGTAATGCCGAAAACGTGCAATTACGCACGTTACAGCACGCTACGTGGACTTAACTGCTGTAGAATAGCAACGCGAATTTTTAGTCACACAAATTACACTTTCAACCGACACAACGGCCTGTTACCTATAAAGAATTATTTACCTGGCATTTTCTTATTATATCACACAATTATAGCTTCCAGTGTGCACCAAGCGTCCTCAAGCTCTTAACCCTCGCCCATGTAGGGGGGTTGGTGCAACCCCCCCCCTGAGGCTTTTCGGAAATAGTGCAAAAACGGCGGCGCGCAGCGCCGCCAAATTTTGGGTACCTTATGGGGCAAACCTTGCGCATCTTTTGATAAAAAAAATTGACCGGGTCATGTCAGGTCACGGAGTTATGACGTCACAAAGGGAACAGCCTCCGGCCGGATTTTCACAAAGTGAGTGCCAACGCCCGAGGTTTCCTGCCGATGGTACGGACATCGGTTGATGGATCGTGATGAAACTTCCCATGCATGTTGGGGCAAGTATTGGCTATCATATGGTATAAGAAACTTGACCGGGTCAGGTCAGGTCACGGAGCTATGACGTCACAAGAGGAACAGCGTCCGGTACTATTTTTGAAAAGCGCCCGAACCACTATTTTGCTAATTCTTGTCACCTCAATGGGAATATGCAGCAATATTAGCTTATATAGGGAGCAAATGGACCTCCCAAATCTAAAAATACAATCAGATTTCAAAAATTTAAATTTTGATTTTTCGAATTTCTGCCGCCGACTGTGACCTTGCCGACTTCCGGCGCTCCCAACGCGCCATTTTTAGAGCTAGGGAAACGAAATACATACCAAACGATAGAGAATTGATCAAGGAACACGATAGTGAATGTTTCAAGTCGATATCTCCCACCGTTTTGCCACAATCGCTGCCGAAAGTTGAAAAAAGTATTTTTCCGAAAATTTGACCTTTGACCGGTCAAAAGTAGGTCAAATGTTGACCTAGGACCAAAAAATATACCACCAATCGCGAGATCTCGGCGAGAGAAATCCGTTGGTCTTTTCCGCTAAGCTCTACGACGCTCCGTTTTCAAACGCCAAGGGGGGGAGGGTCGCACCAACCCCCCCCCCCCCTGCATGGGCGAAGGTGGCAGATCGCCGTTTACGGGCGAGGGTTAAAACGCGTGTCAGCTTTGATAAATTCTGGATAAAGTTTAAGATGAAGTGGCAAAACATCAATGTCGGCATTCCCCGTAGGCCGTAGACTATTTCTCCCATTTTCGGCTTTCCCCGCAGTCCGGGGCAACGCCGAAAAAGTCACTTCTTTGATATTTTTAGTTTGTGCGCTTAACGGTATGCGAATTCATCAAATGCGCCTGGTATGTTTGAAAGGCAAAAGACTGGCCTCTCGAATGACGCCAACAAGAATAGCTTATGTTGTCTACCTTGCGTGCTACGGGCGTCAGAAAAAAGTATTCGGCGTTCCCCCAACTTCCCCTAATAGTCATGTCAGATACTTTTTGCTGGTATATTTGGTATATTATATACATGGAGGAAGGAGTACTCTCCTATTGTTATTGGAAGGAATATTCTCTCCTCCATGTTATATATGTAAATGACGGATATGCCGGATACGTCGATATTCATTTCCGTGGTGTGTGTGGAAGTGTTGTCGCCAACATGGTGTTGGCGACCTGTGGTGAGTGCTCCATATAAATGCATAACCAATCACCAATCACCAGTTATGTGGGTGTGTTGTTTCATTTTCTGCTTGGCAGTTCTTCATTAGTAGGCATAGGCATCATTACTTGTACACAGAATGCATATACATATAGGTATACATGCATGCGTGTATAGCTACTTCTTTGTAGATATATACATAAACTGTACATACATACATGCATACGTACTTACATATACACAAATATACCTACATACAAATAATATTAACCCGCGCCCTGGTGGGGTCTGTTTATAACGCGACCTGGTGGGGGGGGGCTATTTTTTGCCCCCCTCGTATCTCCGAAACTACTGGACGGATCCGAAAAATTCAAACGGCGTTCGAAAGGCCTGTCAAATTTGTCGAGGGAAACCAAATTTTATTGACCTCGGGGTCACCGATGACGTCACAGGTCAGGTCAAAGATGAAATGTTTCACCGTTCACGGGTCTTCTAGGGAATGCGCTATAACACCGAGGACAACGCATTTTGTCGGGAATCAGCGATAGGGCGTCAGTTGCCTAGTAGATATGTTGCTGTTAGAGGTCACTGGTCATACCAGGTCAGGTCACAGGTCAGGTCACCAAAGGTCACCAAGGGTCACCACATGAACCCAACTTTACTAAGGTTATGCGATGCATGTTTTATGGTCAGTTTGTCATTTCCAACTCAATAATGTTGGTTATAAGACCATCAGGTACGGTTTAGGTCACTTTCTGGTGGAGGTCAGGTCAAGGTCAGGTCAAAAAAGGTCAAATTTCAAAGTTGATATTTTTGCATAAAATGGGTATTGATTCGATGCAGCTCGTCACGGGGAGTCTAATGGTGGTCTTTGTTTTGCGCTACGAGGTCTAGAATTGCTGAAAATTGAGTTTGAAAATTTGACGTCGTCAATTTTGAACAGTTTTTTCGCTATAACTTGGCCAAAAAAAAAGAGGTATCGATCTCAAATTTGGTATGTAGATAGAAGGCGGTAAGGACTATCACATATATTCCGGTTTTTTCGAAATTCAAAAAACTTTTAGGATTTTTTGGCTATTATATTCAAAAAATCTATTTTTTCATTTTTGGGGGTCAAAATCCAAAAATTTCAAAAATCCGAGATAGCAATTTTGTAGCCCTGTCCATTCTACAGCTTTTATGTCTGTATCATTTTTCTGTATTTGCAACGCTATAGGCCTGACAGCTCTTCCCGCGAAACCCTTTTTTGGGTCGAAAACGGCAGAACATGACGTCACTCTGACGTCATTTCCGGCCAACCTATCATAGCCTTTGGAACAATTTTTGGTCACAATGTGTAAAATTAATGTCCGGGAGGGTACTGAAAGTTTGGTGACGATCGGCGCAGTGGTTCTGGAGATATATCGAAAAGTCTGGAGGGGGGGGGGCAAAAAATAGCCCCCCCACCAGGTCGCGGGTTAAATGTGTTCATTATCACTATTTACTGCTCAATATTACCTAACAGTCAGCTCGAATGCAGCATGCAGTGCCATACCTGTCTATGTCTCAGCACGAGTGCTAGCGAGTAGCGTAGCAGCTCCCACGCCATTCACCTACCATGGCTGATGTGTCTGTGTTTCCCAGACTGCCCGCGTGTCACTGCCGGGGCCCTACAGAGGCTGCTGTCCGCCCTCACCGGCCTGGAAGACGTCACACTTGGCGGCTCTCTGTCCGGCGCAATCACTGACGCCTCACTGGCCGCCCTCCACGGCCGCTCCCAGCTGCGTATAATGCGGCTGGGAACGCGCAGTGTACTCTGTACGGATATACCGGTCACGGCGGTCAGCAGGTCAGTCAGCTGTACATCCAGACCAGACTCAGACCAGACCCAGACCAGACCAGACCCAGACCAGACTAGACCTAGACCAGACCCAGACCAGACCCAGACCAGACCCAGACCAGACCCAGACCAGACCCAGACCAGACCAAGACCAGACCCAGACCCAGACCAGACCCAGACCAGACCCACACAATACTCAGACCAGTTCTAGCTAGACGGGACCAATGAATGCCACCACGTATTGTCTGCATGTGTACACTGTTACAATGCATTGTGCTTAGAGCCTTGGTATGTATTGTCATGCTAACGAGCATACAGACCAATAGTAGATAGCACTGTAACTATAAGCTGGCGCATCGGGGCCGAACCCTCACCGGGACCGGACCGGATCTGACTTGAGCTGGTCCTGTGGAGACCGGACCCGTCCCTTCCAGACGGCCGGTCGGCCGGCTGGTGTCGCTGACTGGCCTGTGTCCTGTGCTGTCACAGACTGGTGGTTACCTGTCGGAGACTGGAGTGGCTGATTTTTCACGCAACGGAGGAGCTCAGTCAGACGGTCCTGGACGCCCTGGTCCGGGGAGACCTGGGGAAAAGAGATGACGGCACGACGAGAACACTGTGGTTCCAGGTCTCAGGTTAGTGACGGCGCCACCCAGCGCCTCTGATCAGTCCCACAACAGACGGCTCGGCGCCACCGGCCTCTCGGAGCCGCTGTCGCACACTCTCTCAACGGGTCGAGATGAGCACATGACGCTGATGTGACGTCACAACAGATAAAACAGCATAGTGATGCAATTCATATGTAGATGTGTCTACCCTCATGTGTGGCGTGAATGGTTGTTCGAGTGTGAACAATACCAAACACTAGCTGATTCCTATGATAGGCTAGCCACTAGCCAGTATAGTAAGATGACGTCACTCGTATTTAGGTAGGTAATTGGTATGGCTTGAGCTCTGACGCGGTGTGTGGTATGAATTGATGTTATGGACATGTTCACCGTATTGTGGTCTTCACTGTTTTTTTTTTTGTGCAACTCTGTGTATATGTAAGGTACTAGATATAGTGTGCAGTTGTGTGATTGGAACTGCCATATTCATGTTAATTAATGTTACCCGGGACGTAACTACATAGAGTTCACGTAGGTACTGTCATTGTTCATGTCTTTGGTGCTGAATTGGGCTTACGCAGATATATACTACAAACCAGTTTTGTGACTGGTGTCGGACTTGTGAAAATAAATGAACCTATCCAGCATGACCATTTGTGTCTGGTTGATATAGCTGTACCTTTTGCATTTATTTAGTTACTGCATGGAACATGACGTACTCAACCGATCATGGGATGTGTGTGCCATTACATGGGGCGGCACATCAGAAGTCCGAACTTGTGATGTGTAATGTCACATTAAACATAGTTTGTTTAGTTCGTCTTCGTACTTCGAAATATAAGAAACATTTTCCCCATTGTGTATGAGTTGTGATTTGTGACCCATCTTACTGGTGTCTTACCCGCAGGAGCCGTTTATGATAAACTGAACATACCGTCGGATACCGGCAACATCAAAGTACTGAGGGAGGACGAATCCTGCGGTTCATCTTTGAAGTTCATCTTTCCACCGGGCCATAGTGAGGAGCAGCTGACGGCTCTGCTGGAGTCCCTCCAATCCTTGGAGGAGCTCACGGTCTCTGTGCCTCCTGACTCGACGGGACGGTGGCTGCGGCTGCTACCGCCCTCCTTGCGGCGCCTAGACGTTTACGGTGAGATGTGATTGGTGGAACTTTTAATTACACTGTTGTGTGGTGAGGATAGCGCTTAGTATCGCGATTGTAGCTACGCATGTAGGTTGTAGGTAAATATCTGCTAAGCAGGTCCGCTACCATATGCAAAGTATGTACTTATTGCCAAGCATCTCACAAAAACAGCGTTTTAGCGGACGTGGAATCATCACAGCAAAAAAAAAAAGCAATGTGGAAAGCGTATTTACTGTAACTCTGGTCAAAATCATGAAAGACGTTTGTAGAACACACACATGCTCTACAAATGATCATAGCCCGGCACCGCCTGGGCTATTTCCGTACCCACGACAGCCTGGGGGGGGGGGGGTTCGGATCCGATCCCCCCTGTTATCTCAATGGTCGTATCGAGCCCCGCGAGGCGGCGTTCGAAAGGTCTCTAGGAGACCTTCCCAAACCACTCTTAACCCTCGCCCATGTAGGGGGGGTTGGTGCACCCCCCCCCCTGAGGCTTTTCGGAAATAGTGCAAAAACGGCGGCGCGCAGCGCCGCCAAATTTTGGGTACCTTATGGGGCAAACCTTGCGCATCTTTTGATAAAAAAAAATTTGACCGGGTCATGTCAGGTCACGGAGTTATGACGTCACAAAGGGAACAGCCTCCGGCCGGATTTTCACAAACTGAGTGCCCACGCCCGAGGTTTCCTGCCAGTGGTACGGACATCGGTTGATGGATCGTGATGAAACTTCCCATGCATGTTGGGGCAAGTATTGGCTATCATCAGGGGCGGATCCAAGGGGGGGGGTCACATGGGTCATGCCCCCCCCTTGAGGCCCGGGGGCCCAAAGACCTGCCAGGGGCACCACCGGCCTATCAGGGGTATCACAGTCCTGACAGGGGCACCACAGGACCGCCAGGGGCACCACAGGCCTAGCAGGGACACCACGGGCCTGGTGCCCCTGGGCCCTGACAGGACTGTAACGCCCCTGACAAGCCTGAAGTGTCCCCGGCAGGCACGTGGTGCCCCTGACAGGCCTGAGGCGCCCCTGCAAGGCCGGTGGTGCCCCTGGCAGGCCTGTGGTGTCCATGGCAGGCCTGTGGTGCCCTTGCTAGGCCTCTGGTGCCCCTGACAGGCTTGTAATGCCCCTGGAAGGACTGTGGTGCCCCTGGGCCCTGACAAGCCTGAGGTGCCCCTGACAGGCCAGTGGTGCCCTTGCTAGGCCTGTGGTGCCCCTGGCAGGCATCTGGTGCCCCTGACAGGCTTGCGGTGCCCTTGGAAGGACTGTGGTGTCCCTGGGCCCTGACAAGCCTGAGGTGCCCCTGACAGGCCCGTGGTGCCCTTGTTAGGCCTGTGGTGCCCCTGGTAGGCCTCTGGTGCCCTTGCTAGGCCGCTGGTGCCCCTGGCAGGCCTCTGGTGCCCCTGCGCCCGGAGAGGACTGGTGCCCCTGAAAAGTCTGAAGTGCCCCTCGGCAGGCCCGTGGTGCCCCTGACAGGCCCAAGGTGCCCCTGCAAGGCCGGTGGTGCCCCTGGCAGCCCTCTGGTGACCCTGGCAGGTCTGTGGTGCCCCTGGCAGGTCTGTGGCGCCCCTGGCAGACCTGTGTTGACTGGTGCCCCTGCTAGGTCGCTGGTGCCCCTCACAGACCTGTGGTGCCCCTGGGCCTTGACAAGCCTGAGATGCCTGGCTATGACAGGCTCGTGGTGCCCCTGATAGACCAGTGGTGCCCCTGCTAGGCCGCTGGTGCCCCTCACAGGCCTGCGGTGCCCCTGGAAGGACTGTGGTGCCCCTGCCCCTAGGGGTGCTCATGGGCCCAACAGGCCCGTTGTGCCCCTGACAGGCCTGTAGTGTCCTTGCTAGGCCTGTGGTGCCCCTGCTTCCTGGCGGGCCTGTGGCGCCCCTGCTTCCTGGCGGGCCTGTGGCGCCCCTACAAGGCCATAGGTGCCCCTGACAGGTTTGTGGTGTCCCTGGAAGGACTTTGGTGCCCCTGACAAGCCTGAAGTGTCAAGGACAGACCCTTTAGACGCCAGTGTCAAGTTCGTCGGACTGACAACGATTTGCTTACCTGATAACGTTCCTGGTAAGTACTCACTACTCAGCGTCCACAACATATACATATACACATAGCACATTCATATATACTTGCTTACAATTGGTAAATGTGGTTATGGCTAAGAGTTAAGATACTGACTAAAAAAGAAAAAAAAAACTGAAAATGGGGGCACCACCAAAATGAAGTGGACGAAATCCGTTGAGTTTTTAATTTTGGGTATAGGTAGGGGCACCACTTCGATTCATGACCCTCCCCTTGGAGTTTTCCTGGATCCGCCCCTGGCTATCATATGGTATAAGAAACTTGACCGGGTCAGGTCAGGTCACGGAGCTATGACGTCACAAGAGGAACAGCGTCCGGTACTATTTTTGAAAAGCGCCCGAACCACTATTTTGCTAATTCTTGTCACCTCAATGGGAATATGCAGCAATATTAGCTTCTATAGGGAGCAAATGGACCTCCCAAATCCAAAAATACAATCAGATTTCAAAAATTTAAATTTTGATTTTTCGAATTTCTGCCGCCGACTGTGACCTTGCCGACTTCCGGCGCTCCCAACGCGCCATTTTTAGAGCTAGGGAAACGAAATACATACCAAACGATAGAGAATTTATCAAGGAACACGATAGTGAAGGTTTCAAGTCGATATCTCCCACCGTTTTGCCGCAATCGCCGCGGAAAGTTGAAAAAAAGTATTTTTCCGAAAATTTGACCTTTGACCGGTCAAAAGTAGGTCAAATGTTGACCTAGGACCAAAAAATATACCACCAATCGCGAGATCTCGGCGAGAGCAATCCGTTGGTCTTTTCCGCTAAGCTCTACGACGCTCCGTTTTCAAACGCCAAGGGGGGGTCGCACCAACCCCCCCCCCCCCCTGCATGGGCGAAGGTGGCAGATCGCCGTTTACGGGCGAGGGTTAACCCTCGCCGGCACAGACCATTTTGCGTCCTTCGACGGCACAAATGGCGGGGGGGGGGGTGGAACGACCCCCCTCGCGTTTGGCCCCTGATCGAGCTAGAGCTTCGCGGAAAAAAACGAGCGTGTTGCCCGTCACGAGAGGATGGCGATGATACCCAATTTTGAGGTCCTAGGTCATCGGGTGACCTTCCAGGTCAGGTTAATGACCCAAAAGTCGGGAAAATCGGGACCTGTTAGAAAGTCGTAAAGTGTGGCTGCTATGGGGTTTTCCGGGGCGCTGATCACGAATATCGTGTTAGTTTTGATCACAGATGATGCCTTTAAGCATTTAGACCAGGTCGGGTCAGGTCAGGTCAGGTCAACCGGTAGGGGTCGTGACGGGTATTCGTAGTACATGTCAGCCGCCTCTGACAGCTTCGTAACATGTTACGAAGGCACCAAAACTACTTCGTAAATGTTCAAATGGTTGCTAAATTCTAATTCAGCTCCAAAAACTAGCCTAGAAACATGTAAAACTCGAAAAAGTGAACCGAGGTCACCAAAGGTCAATGACCTGACCTGACCTTCAGGTGACCTCGACATCCACCCTAATGCATGGGAGTAACATCAAATCACATGTTTGAACGTTTGAAACCACGAAAAGCTTGCAAACGCGCGGCTAATGCGAGCCGACATACGCCGAATCGCGATTCCGGCCAAACATGGTCTCAGAAAATAGGTCACAGGTCAAAGGTCATTTTGGTCAGGGTCATGAATTTTTAAGGGTAGGTGTAAAATTGATAAATGCGAGGGTACTAAAAGTTTCGTCGCGATCGGCCGCTTTTTACGCGAGTTATTTGCGAAAAAATTAGGGGGAGAGGGTTGCATCAACACCCCCCTGTGCCGGCGAGGGTTAAGATTTTAATATTGAGGTCAACTTTCGGGTCAAGGCCAGGTCAAAGGTCAAATTCTGGGGTTTTGCATGATGAGGCTAACGGACAGCGGATTTGATAGCTCCTGCTCGAAACTCACCAAAAATGACCTCAAAGGCCTAGTGAAGATAACATGTGCGTATAGGGGTCATACTAAGCACGGGTCAAGGTCAGGTCACGAAAGGTCACGGTTTTCACTTTCTGCTACATGCTGCCGTGAAAAGGAAGAGAAGCGTAAGCGCCATTATATCGATTTTGATATTTTGATACCAATCGATGCAGAATTTTAACCCTCGCCGGCACAGGGGGGGGGGGTTGATGCAACCCCCCCTAAGGTTTTTCGCGAATAACTCGCGTAAACAGCGGCCGATCGCGACGAAAATTTCAGTACCCTCGCATTGATCAATTTTACACCTACCCTGAAAGTTTCATGACCCTGACCCCAATGACCTTTGACCTGTGCTGTGACCTCTTTTCTGTGACCATGTTTGGCCGAAATCGCGATTCGGCGCATGTCGGCTCGCATTAGCCGCGCGTTTGCAAGCTTTTCGTGGTTTCAAACGTTCAAACATGTGATTTGATGTTGCTCCCATGCATTAGGGTGGGTGTCAAGGTCACCTGAGGGTCAGTCAGGTCATTGACCTTTGGTGACCTTGGGTGACCTCGGTTCACTTTTTCGAGTTTTACATGTTTCTAGGCTAGTTTTTGGAGCTGAATTCGAACTTAGCAACCATTTGAACATTTACGAAGTAGTTTTGGTGCCTTCGTAACATGTTACGAAGCTGTCCGAGGCGGTTGACACGTATTACGAATACCCGTCACAACCCCTACCGGTTGACCTGACCTGACCTGACCCGACCTGGTCTAAATGCTTAAAGACATCATCTCTGATCAAAACTAACACGATATTCGTGATCAGCACCCCGGAAAACCACACAGCAGCCACACTTTACGACTTTCTAACAGATCCGATTTTCCCGGTTTTCGGGTCATTGACCTGACCTGGAAGGTCACCCGATGACCTAGGACCTTAAAATTGGGTATCATCGGCTTCGTCTCGTGACGGGCAACACGCTCGTTTTTTTCCGCGAAGCTCTAGCTCGATCAGGGGCCAAACGCGAGGGGGGGGGGGGTCGTACCAACCCCCC